GACTATTGTAAAGGATTAGATAGTAAATACAGTTGGCCTTCTTTATCTATAGGTTCTGTATCTATAGATTCAACCAATCATGGATTGAAAATATTCACAGAATTTTTTTCATCTGTGCTGAACACGGATAGACTTCTCTTATCATTAGTCCCTAAACAATACAGTATAACAACTATTGCACAGCATTTACATTGTATCAGGTGTTATGAGTAATCTGGACATGAGTTGAAGTATCCAGGAAGATGTACATAGATTCTATGCAAATACTATACCATTCCATATAAGAGACCTGAGCATTTGCATATTTTGGTGTCCTTGGGTGATCTTGGAACCAATCCCCTGCAGACAGCAAGGGACAAGGGATAGAATAAACTTGATCTGCAAGTCTTAGTTTACTGACCCCTGGCATATAGGACCCTTCACTGTTTGGACCCAAGTTACCGCTCTGGCCTCTTGTTGCAGTTGGCTCCAAGTTTCTTCCTCTTTTATACTCACTGGACTTTTTTAAACAAATTTTTGAAATTTACTTTGAGAGGCAAAGAGACAGAATGAGAAAGAAAGACACAAACAGACGGCCAGAGAGCACTCCCCTCTGGTGACTCATTATCCAAATGCCCTCAATGACTGGTGCTGTGCTGGGCCGAAGTCAGGGGCTGAGAACTCAATCCAAGTCTCCCATGTGGGTGGCAGAAACTGTTAGTAGAGCTATGTCCCCTATGTTCCAGTGTCTACGTTAGCAGAAAGCTGGAACCAGGAACTCAAGTCCCAAATCACACAGGAATCTTAACTGCTAGGCTGAATGTGCACTCCTGAATTTACCAAGATTTTTGAATACACATTGCTCATTCCAACCTCCGCAACTTGCTTCTTGCTTTTTCCTCTCTGTGAAAACAGTGATTAGTCTCTGTCAGACGATGTTCAGACATGCTTTAAGCCGCATCTTAGGGGCCGGGGTGGTGGTGCAGCAGGTTAAGCTGGTGCCTGTGACTCCCGATTGCTCTGCTTCTGATCCCTGCTAAAGTGCCTGGGAAAGCAGTGGAAATGGCCTAAGTGCCTGGGCCCCTCCCAGCCCTGTGGGAGGCCTTGGTTCCTGGCTTCTGCCTGGCCATGCTGCTACATTGCAGCCATTTGGGAAGTGAACCAGGAGATGGAAGATTCTCTCTCTCTCTCTCTCTCTCTCTCTCTCTCTGCCTCTCCCTCTCTCCATCACTCTGCCTTAAAAAAAAAAAAAAGACATATCTTAAAAAGCAACTTCTATACCATTTTTTTCTATTTCCTGCAAAGACCTCCTTCCTTTCCTGATCAGGCTTAGTTACAGCTTCATTGTGAACAAAAGAGAAAACGCTCTTTATTTCAAATAAGTTAGTCATAACCGTGTGGAACAACAGCCATTGAAAAGTTGGGGAGTACCTGAGTTGTGTTTGGGTACAGTCATAGATAAGATACAGTGTTCACAACAAAAATGTTTATTTGTGCTGACAAAACAAATTTTCCTTTTTAATTTTTTAAAAGATTTATTTTATTTATTTAAAAGGCAGAAATACAGAGAAACAGTAGAGGAGAGAGAGAGAGAGATTGAGAGAGAGAGAGGTTTCTTCCATCCACTGGTTCACTTCCCAAATATTTGCAACGGCTGGGCCTGGACCAGGACAAAGCCAGGAGCCAGGAGCCAGGAGCTTCTTCCAGGTCTCCCACGTGAGTGCAGGGGCCCAAGCACTTGGGCCATCTGCTGCTTTCTCAGGCACATTAGCAGGGAGCTGGATCAGAAGTGGAGCAGCCAGGTCTAGAACCAGCACCCATAGGGAATGCCATTGTTAAAGGTGGAGACTTAACCTGCTATGTCACAACACAGGCTCTTATTTCTCTAGAATGAGCTCCCAATGAGGAAAGAGTGTATTGAAAAAAAAAAAAAAAAACCAAAAAAAAAAAACACTGTGAAATGTTGTAAACTTAATTACGAGGGCCAGGGCAGGGAGGAGGAGGAGATGAGGAAAGTTAATCGGTTACCAGTTGCTGGTGGGGGCCTGGCATCGTGGTGCAGCAGCATCCCATATGAACACTGGTTCGAGTCCCAGCTGCTCCCTTTCAGATCCAGCTCCCTGCTAATGTGCCTGGGAAAGTAGCGGCGGACAGCCAAGTGTTTGGGCCTCTGCACCTAGGTGAGAGACTTAGATGAAGCTGCAGGCTCCTGGCTACAGATCAGCCCAGCTCTGTCCACTGTGGCCATTTGGGGAGTGAATGAACACATGGAAGACCTGTGTGTGTGTGTGTGTGTGTGTGTCTGCCTCGCTGTATCTCTGCCTTTCAAATAAATAAATAAATCTTTAATAAATAAATAAAATAAAATGATTGGGGCAGGCATTTGATACAGCATCCCATAGCAGAATGTCTGGTTCAAGTCTTGGTTCCTCTGCTTCTGATTCAGCTTCCTGTTGAATCACACCCTGGGAGGCAGCAGGTACTTTGAAAGCAAGTACTTGGGCCCCTGCCACCCACATGTAAGACTCCCATGGAATTATAGGTTCCTGGCTTCGGCTTGGCACAGCCCCAGCTGTTGAGAACACTTGGAGAGTTAACCAGAGGATGGATGATATGTCTCTTGTTGTCTTTCTCTCTGCCTTTCAAATAAGATGTAAATAAATACATTTTTTTAAAAATTAAGTCAAATGAGTGCCAGGATTTGCCTCGTGTTTTCATGACTTGTTATTGTGTATAGATTAGTGAAATTATATTGGGCCATTATTTCAGGTCATAGCAATAGAGAATTTGTTTTCAATTTTAAATGAAAGAAAAGTATATAATTGAAGCTAACAGGCTAACTACTTGCATGGATGTGATAAGAAATAAATACAAGTTGCTTAACAGTTACTAGAAATGAGTTCCCTAAAACAAATTGGTAATGAAGGTAAGTCATTCAATTTACAGGGATATTACATGCTTAGAAAAACTGTGAGCTTTCTTAGTCAATGACTGAAATAATCTTGCAAGCTAAGAAAATGAAAGGAATGTTAATAAGTAAGAATACTGTCAAAAAACTAAAATGCCAGGGTTTGAGAAATCAAGTGCCATTATGCAAGTCAATATTTTAAGAAATGCAATTTGTACAGCATTCTTTATTTTTCCTTTAAAACTTATTTTGAGAGGGCTGTTTTGCTTAATTATGCAGCAAATGGGCATGCAACACAAGTTCAAAACAAGTCGGAGGCTGGTTTATGTGAACTTTGGTTGGCTGTTTGGTGATCATCGTGGTTTTTCATTCTACAGAATCTCATGGGGCTTCTGGGTGAGGAGCTTGACCTTATTCCTGTGTCAGATTAAAATAGCAAGAATGCTGCTAAAAAAAAGACATTCTGTTGAGTATTTCCCCTCAGGTCAACTCCTAGAACTTTGTCTACCTTCCTCTGGTTCCTGGCAGAAAATGTGTGCAGGGGCAGCAGGTTCCAATTTCTAGCAGCACGACATTAGAAAAACTTCATCCCTTGGTTAGCCCTTGCCTTTCTAGAAAAGTATGAATAAGAGTTTCTCTTCTTTTTAAAAGTGTTTTCTGGGCTGATGGTGTGGCATGACAGGCTAAGCCACCCACCTCCGACATCAGCATCCCATATCATAGGGCTGGTTCAAATCCTGGCTGCTCCACTTCTGATCCAGCTCCGTGTTAATGTGCCTGGCAGGAAAGCAGGTGATGGCCCAAGTACTTGGATCCCACAGCTCATGTGGGAGACCCACATATAGTTCTGGACTCCAGGCTTCAGCTTAGCTCAGCCCCTGCCATTTGGAGGAGAGAACCAGTTCTGGCCTCCTAGCTCCTGCCTTCATTCTGGCCCAGCCAGGGCTATTGTAACCACTGGGGGAGTGAACCAACAGGTGAAAGATCTTTTTCTCTGTCTCTCCCTCTCTCTGTCGCTTTGCTTTTCAAATAAATAGCTCTTAAAAAATAAAAAGTCCTTTCCTCAGGTGCTGGAATTGTGGTACAGTGAAATACTGTTAAAATTTATTCTGACACTTATTAAAATGGTAAGGAAAACTATATTCAGAACTATTGCAATAGGTGTCAAGACTATCACTATAGGGATAAGGCATTGGGTTCAAACAAATACAGACAACTGGGGATTTGTAGCCAATGATTAAAGGTGAGGGAACCAATGGGTGGACTATTACCCAAAGGAAGCATCAAGGGTAGGGGGATTTTTTTTTTTTTAAGATTTCTTATTTATTTATTTGAGAGGTAGAGTTACAGAGAGAGGTAGAGACGGAGAGAAAGGTCTTCCATCCGCTGGTTCACTCCCCAAATGGCCGCAACTGCCGGAGCTGGGCCCATCTGAAGCCAGGAGCCAGGAGCTTCTTTTGGGTCTCCCACTCGGGTGCAGGGGCCCAAGCTCTTGGGCCATCTTCTGCTGCTTTCCCAGTCCACAGAGATCTGGTTCCGAAGTGGAGCAGCTGGGACTGGAACCGGCGCCCCTATGGGATTAACCTACTGCGCCACAGCGCTGGCCCCAGGGGCATTTTTGCTAAATGTTTTTAACAGTATTCTTGAGGAAGGCGGGCTTGCTTGCGTGAGCAGATATCAAGGTTGGGGGATGAGGCATTTGAACAGATACTGAGAATGATTAGATATTAAGGACTGGGAGAGCTTCATTAAAATGACTTAGCAGGAGGCCTGACCAAAAAGAGAGCTCTGAGTAGCCTCCAACTAAAGTGTGACACTTTGTCAATGTCAAGCTGGTTTCCCTTTATACCACCACGTGATGCCTCTCTAGCCCATCCTGTCGTCTAGAAGCTCTTTAAAACAAAATCAAGAAATTCAAGTTACAGCAGTTCTTGGAGACGACCCTCACCAGCACGTGAGAATTGCGTAGGGCAACAGACTACAATTCCTATAAGGCCCCGCTGAGCCGCGAGCCCACCATCCCCTCCCCCAACCCGGAATTCTGCGCATGCGCAGAAGGCTTTGCGTGGCGCGGGAATGGGCGGAGACAGAACAACGCGCCCGTTGGGGGAGGAGAAGGAGAAAAAGGAGGAGGAGAAGGAGAGGAGGGAAAAAGAAACCATAGACGTCTACCTCGGCCTAGAGCGGCCCTTACAGTGCTGGGGAAAGGAGGGCGGGCGGGGACCACCCCAGAACAGGCCGCCGGCGGTATCATGGCGACCCGGAACCCCCCTCCCCAAGGTGAGCGGCCAGGGCCCGAAGTAGTGTCTGGGACGCGGCTCACAGCTCTCGACCTTGCTCTCGGGTCGTCTTTTTTCCTTCGTCTGCCTCAGGGTTCCCAGGGCTCTATTTTTTTTTTTTTTTTTTTTTTGAGGCAGCCCTTTCGATTACTCCTGCTCCCCACCCCCGCCCCCAACTAGACGTCTCCCTCCCTTGCCTGCGGAACTCGGGCGGAGAGTGACCCTCACCCACCCCCAACACAGCCCACCTCCTGCCCTGCCCTCCCTCCTGCCTACCTTTACCTCTGACCCGTCATTTCTATCTGCACTTTATATTCTGATTTTAGGAGTCTTGATTCTAACGTGGTTTTCTCCACGCTGGTTCCTGACTGGTTTTATGCGAAAGGAGGACCCCCTCCTCCGACTGGTGAAAATGGACCTTACTCTGACCCTGACCCTAGTGAGATTCGTGTGTGATCCTCATTGCCGTGTATCTTGGGTCCTGGCTCCGTGGCCCCGGGCTGAGCCCCGGGCCTTTGCCAGGCCTTTTATTCCTGAGACCCTAGTCCCAGGAATTGAATTCAACTCAATAGTTTCCATTTGGGCATTTTTAGCTGTAGGCCAGAAATTAACAATGAGTTGTAACAGAACAAAAGGTATAGGACATTTCTGACTTTTGATTGACTCTGAATGTATTTTTTTCCATTTTGTATTTTGAAGACTATGAAAGTGATGACGACTCTTACGAAGTGTTGGATTTAACTGAGTATGCAAGAAGACACCACTGGTGGAATCGAGTGTTTGGCCACAGCTCGGGACCTATGGTAGAAAAATACTCAGTAGCTACCCAGATTGTAATGGGTGGCGTGACTGGCTGGTGAGAACATCTTTTTCATTCCATTTCATTGGTAGCCTTGCTGCTGTCCTTTTTTACATGGGCCGAAGTCCCAGTGCACGTTCAGAGGGAGTACACTGTTCATGCCCATAGAGCACTAACTTGAGGCTTTTCTCTGAGCCTCTGCATTCAGAAGCTGCCTGTGAGGTTTGGGTGATCGCCTCCCTCAAAGCCCACCCGATGTTCCACTCTTCCCTTCTCGCTCTGATTCTTTATAGATTTTCCCCTTTCTCACTCTTAGCAAATGTAGTGGATCTGATTCGGTGATAGCTAATTATCTGTCCATTTTTCCTTGTCAGTCAGTGCTAACAGCTGGAAAAAATCTGTGGGCAACTTCCCTCTGCAGAAGTGGCCTCAAGGATTGTCAGCCCTTGTAGAGAGCGTAACAATTGTTGATGATGATGCAGATGAATCTGGTGTCTGTGGGCTGGTGCAGATGGTGATTCCGCTCTACAGAGGAGCTGGAGGGCACTGCTTCTGTGTCAGAATTAAAGGGACTGATTGCGTACTCTAATAATATTGTGCTGTGCATTTAGGAGTGCTCAATAAGCATTAACCTAAGGAGGTAGCATTTCAGATTACATGATTACACACTTGCTACTCTGGGTCTAATTCTGTTATTCTTGAAATAAAAGATTAGCCAGATAATAAGGAGGCAAAAACAACTTTGATGCTTTATTTTTAGTTTTTTTTTTCTTAGTTTTATTTAAAAGGCAGACAGAGAGAGAGATCGATCGATCGATCAATCGATCTTCTATCCCTGGTTCAGTCCCCAAATACAACAGCCTGGACTGGGCCAGGTTGAAGCCAGGAGTCCAGAACTTAGTCCAGCTCTCCCACATGGGTGGCAGAGGCCCAAGTACTTGAGCCATCATCTGCTCCCTCCTTCCCAGGGTACACATTAGTAGGAAGCTGGATCAGAAATGGAGTAGCCAGGACTTGAGTCAGATATATTTTTTTTTTTGCAAAATCTACAAATAATTTTATTGAAATTGAACAAATAGCACAACAGTTCCTTTGCTGGGTGCCACCCTCCCCAAGTCATTTCCCACACTCTAGAAGCACAGAGCTTACACAGTAAGGAATTTAAAAGAAAAAAGTCATCTCTATAGAAACCGGACTCTGCCTCAACATCATTCTGGACTAGACTATTTACAAACTTTCACATTTTAAGTATTTCTTTATGAGTTTTCCCGCCTTTCTGTCCAGTATTTTCCCTTGCTGATCATGAAGAGCTAAGGACATACAGGGAAGGGGTAGATATTCTAATAAGGGATAAGGGTATCCCTAGCAGAGACCTCACTCCCACCCCTGCTGGCACCCCTGCCCTTTTATTTTAAATGTTCATCAATGGAGAGAATTTTTAAAGTTTGTGAAGGTGCCTAACTTGTGACTAGTCATTTTGTTCCCTTAGGTTCTAAATTAAATTCATGTTACATTGATTTAATTTAATTATTTACATATTTCTTCTTGATAAGTATAAAATTAAAATTTTTGATTTGTGTTGTACAGGCACCTTGGGACACTGGCACATTCAGTGCCTTTTTGTAAATGCCATTTGATGAGAGAAACTCATTGTGAAGATTTCTGTGACACAGAAGTGTAGTTGTTATTCATGATGTCTACTTATTAATAGTACTAAATTTTAAAAAGCTTGCAATTAGAAGAGAGATGCCTGATTAGAGCCCTGGTCGCTCAACTAATTTTCCACAAGTTGTTTATACCTACATCCCCATAATTCAGTGGATGGCCCTTTGCCTAAACAAGCTCACAATTTGGTGTGATAGGTGAGTGGCTAATGGGATTGTAGGCCTAAACTTTTTTTTGTTTTTGTTTTTTAAGATTTATTTATTTATTTGAAAAGCAGACTTAACAGAGGCAGAGAGAGAGGATTTACACCCCAAATGGCTGCAATGGCTGCAGGTGGACCAGTTCCGAAGCCAGAAGCTTCTTCTGGGTCTCCCGTGCGGGTGCAGGGGCCTGAGCACTTGGGCCATCTTCTGTTGCTTTCTCAGGCCATAGCAGAGAGCTGGATTGGAAGTGGAGCAAAGGGGACTTGAACCAGTGTCCACATAGGATGCTGGCACTGCAGGCGGCAGTTTTATCTGCTATGCCACAGCACCGGCCCTAAAGCCTAGACTTATAAAAAATTTTGAAAAATGGGATTATCAAGTCATTGTATGTGTTCTTGTAGACTAAACTTGGTGAGAAGGCCCGTAATTGACAGATGTGTGTTTGGAGAGCCTAGAGACAGAGCAGTGGGAATTAGTAGGTTCGTTGTAGTGACTAATGCCATCAAGCAGTGGACACACATGCTTGTGGAGCTCGCTCCCTGGAATAGTGTGGACACCCTGCTGCTGCTTGCCTCTTCCCCCTTTTCTGAGCCTTTGTTGCTGACTCCCCCACCTGGGGACCTGGTCTGTATAGAAATACATACATTTGGATTATAGCCAGTTGTCAGCCCAGGAGCTGTGTATTAGGACTCGAATTATTACACGAATTATTTGTTGCAGTGACTTTAGATTCAGTGACATTTAAATTTAGATTTAGATTTTTGCAGTTTTCTAAGGGTATAAAACTGCTGCCATAATGTGTTGTGTGTGAAGGAGAAGTTAATAGGTATTAGCCTAAACAGTTAACGATTCAGGACATGAACGGGAGGCTGAGGAGGTTTGATTTATCTGTAGGTAGCTATAGGTTTTTGATCATGACAAATTGAAACTAAAAATCTGGGTGGGCAATTGCTAGGAGACATGGGAGGTATAAAGAGCAGTTAGAGGCCCCTTCAAGTAGTCTGGAGGTAATGGGAGCCTGAGTCATGCAAGGTAATGATACCCTTGAGAATGGAAAGGAGAAGGCAGAGTCAAATAATGTTTTGGAAATAGAGTGCTAGGGTGCTTCAGAAAGTGTGTGGAAAAATGGTATTAAAAGTGTTCTTGGCTGGCACCACGGCTCACTAGGCTAATCCTCCGCCTGTGGCGCAAGTACCCCGGGTTCTAGTCCCGGTTGGGGTGCCGGATTCTGTCCCGGTTGCTCCTCTTCCAGTCCAGCTCTCTGCTGTGGCCCAGGAGGGCAGTGGAGGATGGCCCAAGTGCTTGGGCCCTGCACCCCATGGGAGACCAGGAGAAGCACCTGGCTCCTGGCTCCTGGCTGTAGCGGCCATTTGGGGGGGTGAACCAACGGAAGGAAGAACTTGCTCTCTGTCTGTCTCTCTAACTCTGCCTGTCAAAAAAAAAAAAAAAAAGTGTTCTTTTGGTGCAAAAGATTTTGCAATCCATGAATAGTTTTTTTTTTCATAATATGCATTTTCCATGAACCTTTTGGAGACCCCTTATATACAGAATTTTGCAGTCAGTTACAGCAAGGATGCAGGAGGCAGGACCTGAGGTGAGTATGAGGTGGCGATCTTGGGGAAGGGTGCTCTCACATGTACGCTGGGACCTTAGCAACGTTCGGTGTGCCAGGAAAGATGCTGTTTGCTTTGGGACATTTTGATTGTGTGGTTGTGGTGCTTGAGAAGTCTGTCATGGCATTCAGAAGGTGAAATTTCCATTTAGGAAGATGTATTAGTTCCCTAGGGCTAGGTCACGAAGTGTCACAAACTCGGCAGGTTGAAGCAACAGAATTGTATTCTCTCCTAGTTTTGGGGTCCAGAAACCTGAAGTCAAGGTGTCAGTAGCATCGTTTCCCTCTTGGAGGCTCAGGGGGAGAAACTGTTCCCTGTTTATCTCCTAGATCCTGGTCATTGCCAGCAATCCTTGACATCCCTTGGCTTGTCGACGATGTATTACTCCAATCTCAGTCTCGGTCATCACGTGGTCATCTTCCCTCTGTGGTCTGTGCTTCTGTGATGTGACTCGGGTTGGATTAAGGGCTCACCCTGCCCCAGTATGACCCCATCTTAACTATATCTGCCGTGACCCCATTTCCAAATGAGGTCACGTGTTGAGGTTCAACAGAGGACATAAATTCTGGGGGGACACCATTCAGTGGTGTAGAAGGGTAGAGTTAGGAGCCCTTGATTCTTTTGCACAGTATGAATCTTACTGAAGGGAGTGTGCGTTCACTGAAGGAGATAATTATTCACAACTGAAGTATGGGCTGATACTCTTTGACAGGATAGATGAGACAAAACAGGTTTAATACAAAAATAGGCATAGATAAGGAAGCTGTGAGAAATGTGGGCTGAAGTGTCATCAAGGTGGAACTGTAGCTGGACCTGGAAGGGTTGGAAAGCTTTGGCAGAGCCAGGCGGAAAGCAGAGAGATTAATCGCTTGAACAAAGGTGATGACCTATTTGGAAAGTACTTGCATTGGAGCAGAAGGTTTGGGTAGGGTGAGGGTCAGTCAGGCGTATGGAACATCTTGATTGTATTAGGCAGAACAAAACAAATCGTTTTTATTGTGGAAAATTTCAACTTACGCAAATGTAGAAGAAGGAGGATAATGAACCCCTGAGTTTCAGTAGCCACTCCCCCCTCCCCCCATAAATTCTCTTTCTCTATCCTTTATTTTGAAGCAAATCTCATATATTTTAGATTGTGCATTTGACTAAGCTGTATCACCAAAGGAAAACACTGAGGGTTTCTGAGCAGATAAGGGGCATGGTCAGAAGAAATGGGAAAGCTTTAAGATTTTATTAGGGAAGTAACGAAAAGTGGAAGCGGTTTAGTACACCATTGATTGTTCTCATCTTTTATTATCTCTTTCACTCAAGGTGTGCAGGATTTTTGTTCCAGAAAGTTGGAAAACTTGCAGCAACTGCAGTGGGTGGTGGTTTTCTTCTCCTTCAGGTATGTCCTAGGTTTACATACTTGCCTTTGCTTACATAGGTAGCCCTTGGGAACTGAGAAAGTCAAGGCTAGCCATTTTACTTCTGTCCATTTTATTTTTTGTCCATTTTAGTAGAAGGTAGAATTTTCCTTTTAGACATGTTTATGGGAACAAAGTATAATGAATTTTGAAAGCTGGCTTCTGTCATGAAAGACAATAACTTAAATACTTCCAAGTTCACTAAGCGTAGTTTGATCCCAGCTATTAAGACAGCTATTACAATTCAAAAATTAAAATGAATTTTAAAGTCCATTTTTATTACTTATCCAGATTTCCCTTGAAGCCTCTCTCTAGCAGATTAAACATTTCAATAATATAACTTACTCATTCTGACCATTTTAAACATAGCATATAAAATTCAAAAGGTTTCTTTTTTCCTGTTTGTTAACCATTCAGTTTTTCCTCAGAAGAAACTGCTATCAACGATTTCTAACAATTTTTTTAAAAAACCGGAAGAACCGTAATAATATAGAAAGTGGAAAGTTGGGTTTAAAAAATCATCCATAATCCTATTTCTGAGGCAGATGGATTTGAAATTTTAGTTTCATTCATCTCCCTTTTAGAGTAAGATCAAGAAATGCCTTGCCGTTAGAAGATGTTTATCAGGACATTATCTGGCATTTATGTCTGTTTGGCATATATTTTCTCAAAAATATCATTCCTTGAAGATCAAATCTAGTAAATGCCAAAATTGAAAATCTCTGGGAATGAATGTTAGCAGTAATTTTGAAGATACAGCAAACTGTCAGTTGTACCAGATTTAAAAAATGATTGATGTTCACAGCAATCAGAATCTTACTTTAGCACCTAAGCGACTGATCATGCAATAATCAGTGTAGGTGCCTTAAGTACAAAGGGACTGGAGTCGTACGTGTCAAGTATTTTCTTGATTTTATATAAATCCAAGTCAAAATCAGCTTAGGTAAAATTCAGTTCTGTACAAATGCTGGGATATTAATCCAAAGGATTAAATTTGGATGTTAATCGTTTTCTTTTTCACCTCTTACCACAAGGAATAACATGATTACTCCTAATGATGTCACTGGTAGAAAGAATGTGTCTTTAAAAAGGCTGATTAGTAAACAGCTCACAATCTACTTAATTCTATAGCCGTTTTGAAAACTGTGTTGTCCTTTCTGTTAGTGTAGAAGGGTACAGAACTAAAGCAGACTTTCCAGAAATGTTAATAGAATAGAGAGCATTGTGTATGTGCACGTGTGTATATATGTGTGTGTGTATTTATATATACACACATATAAATAAAAAGATTTATTTATTTATTTGAAAGGTGGAGTGGGTTCACTCCCCAAATGGCTACAGTGGCCAAGGCTGGGCCAGGCTGAAGCCAGGAGCCCTGAACTGCATTTTGGATCTCTCATGTGAGTGGCAGGGGCCCAATGCTTCTCCAGGTGCATTAGCAGGGAGATGGATAGGATTTGAACCGGGACTCTGATATGGGGTGCCAACACTGCAAGCTGTGGCTTAACCTGCTGTACCATAACACTGGCCCCAGCATTATATATTTTATTCTACTATATATGTCCATTTTTCAATAGTCCGTTTCAGTGGCCCTCAATGTGCATCACTGAAATCCAGTTTGCCATTGCACCTGCTGCTTTTCCACTTAGTCCACGTGTTCCTTGAAGCCTTTAAGGTAGAAGAACCTGTCTGCGTCAAGCCAGTTTTTCCCACAAATATAACTAGCCCCGAAAACACAGGCTAGTTTTCTAGTAGCAATACTGTTTTCCAGTAGTTGTTTATCACAATGCTGTCTTAAAATAGACAATGATAGGGGCCAGCATTGTGGTGCAGCAGGTTCAGCTGCCACCTCTGATTCTGGAATCCCATGTGAGTGCTGTTTCAAGTCCCAGCTGCTCCACTTCTGATATAGCTCCCTGCTAATACACCGGAAAGCAGTGGAAGATGGCCCAAGTCCTTGAGCCTCATACCCATGTGGAAGACCTGGTGGAGTTCCTGGCTCCTGGCCATTGTGGCCATTTGGGGAGTGAACTAATGGATGGAAGAGACCTCTCTCTGTCTGTCCCTCTCTAACTCTTCCTTTCAAATAAATAAATACATCTTTGAAAAATAATATGTCTCTGTTTGTTTGTTATGAATATATACATAATTCACAGGGTCAGATAGTTGTACAAGGCTTAGAGTCATCCTCTGCCTTGCCTCAGTACCCGTTTCTACCTCTCTCGAGGCAGCCACCTTAAACTCAGCTGATTCTCCTTTCCCAAAACAGGTTAACTGGGCATTTCTTAATCTTTCAGTCTTAGATGGTAACTGTTGGAATGTGGAACAGTTTGCATTATGGAATATGAAAATTTGGCTATTGTTTATTGAACTGTCCTCTCCATACCTGCCCTCCATCTCACACACCTGAATGCTTTCTGCTCCCTGCATATTATTATTTCATAATTGTGTTCGATCACTGCCTGGAATTTACTGAACAACTGTTGGTTGTCTGACTCTCCTGTCATTGTGGTCATATGCGTGAACTAGCCTGTCAGTTGAATCTTGGGGACAGACTTGGTGCCAGAGTCCTGTGTCCTGCTCCCTGTCTAGGCTTGGTGTATATCTCTTATCCTGGGATCTCCCTTCAGTACTGTTCGTGGATATTCCCTTTGCTTTTGTCATGGATTGTTTCCTTTACTGTATCTCATATCTTTTTGATCTGTTCTCTTATTTGAGAGGAACACATCCTCCAGTAACTTCTGGAGAAACTGTGCATGGGGGGTATCGCTTTTAAGACTTTGCATGTTTGAATAATTCTTCATTTCATTCTTACATTTGATTGATAGTTTACCTGGGTTTAGATACTGCTCCATTGTCATTTGAGTTCCAGTGTTCCTGTTAAGTCTAAAATAATACTTTAAAAAAATTATTTATTGGCCGGCGCCGCGGCTCACTAGGCTAATCCTCCACCTAGCGGCGCTGGCACACCGGGTTCTAGTCCCGGTTGGGGCGCCGGATTCTGTCCCGGTTGCCCCTCTTCCAGGCCAGCTCTCTGCTGTGGCCAGGGAGTGCAGTGGAGGATGGCCCAGGTGCTTGGGCCCTGCACCCCATGGGAGACCAGGAAAAGCACCTGGCTCCTGGCTCCTGCCATTGGATCAGCGCGGCGCGCCAGCCACAGCGGCCATTGGAGGGTGAACCAATGGCAAAGGAAGACCTTTCTCTCTGTCTCTCTCTCTCACTGTCCACTCTGCCTGTCAAAAAAAAAAAATTATTTATTTATTTGAAAGGCAGAGTTACAGAGAGGAGAGGGAGAGACAGAGATCTTCCATCTGCTGGTTCACTCCCAACATGGGTGCAATGGCCCAAGCTCAGCTTTTGTCCCCTGTTTATAATTGTTCACATTGATATGCTTTGCTATGGCCCTATTTTGTTCATTGCACTGGAAACTCAAAGGGCTGTTTCAGTTTGGGGGAATATTCTTGATATTTATTTAGCTAATGATTTCCTGCTTTTTTGTTTCTTCTAATTTTTCCTCCTGTACTTGCTGATATATAGATCCCCTGGACAAGTTGTTGAATATAAATTATATAAATTATTAATTTATATTATAATTTATCTAATTCATTTACAGCATTAACTAATAGATATTTATTTTATGCCTTGGTTTATAATCTAATACTATTTTGTTCCTCATATTATTCCAGCTTTGGCCATTGAAAGTTCTTTCAATTATACATTATCTTTTTAAATCTATGTGAGGACATAAGTGATTGATTGTTTTTTTAAACTTATCCCTACATAGTCTCTATTCTTCTAACTCCCTCCTTACCCCCTCCATGTTTGTTTATCAGGGTGCTTCTAAAAGTTCATAGAAAGGGGCAGGTGTTTGGCCTAGCGATTAAGCCACTGTTTAAGATGCCTGCATCCCATGTTGGAGTACCTGGGTTTGATTTCTGGCTCCAGCCCTTAACTGTAGCTTCCTGCTAATGCAGATGTTGGAGGCAGCTGTGATGACTCCACTAATTGAGTCCCTGCCACCCCTGTGGGAGACCTGGATTGAATTCTGGCTCCCATCTTCAGCCTCCTTGCATTGTGGGTATAAGATTTATTTATTTATTTGAAAGGCAGAGTGACAGGGAGAAAGACCCAGATCTTCCATTTGCTGATTCAAAATGGTCACAATCGCCAGGATTGAGCCAGGCAGAAGCCAGTAGCCCAGAACTCCATCTGGATCTCATGTAAGTTCTTGGGCAGGCCATCTGCTGCTGCTTTCTGACGAGCAGCGGAAGGGAGCTGGATCAGAAGCGAAGTAGCTTGGGCTTATACTGGTACTCTGCTGTGGGCTGCTGGTGTCCCAAGTGTTGGTTTTACTTGCTGAGCCACAACACCTGCCCGCCACACATAGTTTTTTCTTTTTTCCAAAGATTTGTTTTATTTATTTGAAAGAGTTAGAGGGAGAGAAGAGAGAGATCTTCCATCTGCTGGTTCACTCCCCACATGGCTGCAACTGCCATGGCTGGGCCAGGGCAAAACCAGGAGCCGAAAGCTTCTTCCAGGTCTCCCATGTGGGTGCAGGTATCCAAGCACTTGGGCCATCTGCTGCTGCTTTTCCTAGGCCATTAGCAGGGAACTGGATCACAAATGGAGCAGCTGGGACTTGAACCAGCACCTGTATGGGATGCCAGTGTTGCAGGCATTGTCTTTATCTGCTACATCACAATGCTGGCTCCTGATTTGTTCATAATATACATTTTCCATGAACTTTTTGAACATCTTGCATGTTATAGTCTTTAGTTGCATATTAAGTGCCATTTTACATGCTTGATGATCCTGGATTGCTTATGTTTAAGATTTGGGCACTAAAAACTAATGGAAGCTCTAAATGTGTAATGGGGCTTTCCCTTTTCTGGGAATTCTGACCAGTCCAAGAAAAATGATTTAAAGATCTGGATTTAAGGGTGGAGGGAATTTTCCCCATGAAAATAGCCTGGTTAGATCACCATATGGTGACGCTTACAAGCCAAAAACCCTATGTACTCATTTATAGCTTTCTAGCAGACATGAATCTTTGCTTGATAGACTGGCATTATTTTTAACTTGGAAGCTTTTATTCTGATGATGCCTCTTTACATAATCTCATTAAATATTTTAGTGTTAGAACCAGTGTTGTGGCGCAGCAGGTTAAGCTACCGCTTTTGATGCCAGCATCCCATATTGGAGTACCGGATGCTTCTGTTGGTTTACATTTCCCTTAATTACTCAGATGAGTTCTGGGTGGACAGACTGAATTGGGTCCCGTTTGGTCAGTTCTTCCAAAGTATTCGGGAGTTAGGTTGGATGTACCTGAACCCCACCGAGTGTAGAGTGCCTGTCTTGGGGCATCTTTGTCCTGGAGCATGCTGCCCCGTTTGGACTGGTAAACTTCAGTCTGATCAGATTGACCTCTAAATGAAGAGAGCCGTGAACTTCTCCAGGGAATCTCCTCAGGGATAGTAGGTCAGTTCAGCATCAGACAGAGATCATCCTCTCACTCGCTCCTAGAGGAGAGAGGGCCCTTTGCGCTAATCTAGCTCATCCACTTTGTTGCGGAGAGTTACTATTTGAGTCAGGTTGGATAACACAGCTTCAGGGGTTTAGTTTTTATTCACTGTCTTTGTAGCAGTCATCCAGTGTGTGTCATTTGTCTATTTGACATTCGGGTGGGACTCTAGGGACATAAACATTCTCAATCCCTGGTACTGACAAATTTAGTGACCTGGTCAGCGCCGAGCTGAGCCAGAAGGGTGTATTTGGAGCTGAGAGAGCGCTCCCGCTCTTTGCAGAAATCAGGAAACCCTAGAGAGGCAAGTAGTATTTCAGAGTTTTTCTTTCTTTCTTTTTTTTTTTTTTTGACTTTCCTTGCAACTGTTTGACCTTTTATCCCAAAACATAGGTCATTCTGTCTATTTCAGATAACCTCAAATTTAGTAATTTTCAGTGACAAGTGGCTATGATGAAAATATTTTTAGATATTGTGTAGAATACTGCTGATGAGAATTGGTTTAATCCATCTTATTAAATAGCTTCATTAGGAGGTTAGGTAAGGGGTTAGCCAGGGAATGTAGGTAAGTTTTTTTCATTACCAGGATAATTCATGGCATGAAGATGAATTTTTTGAAAAACTTTGTAACTTAAAATGTTGAGTCTTGAAAATGACAATTACATTGGGAATTGCTGATGAGTTGTGGCATAGATAACGTTTTTGGTTTGCTCTAACTAAAAATAAAGCCATATACATACATAAAGATCTTTGTACTTCTCACAAGCTTTGGATTAAAAAGATATGTTAGAATTGACAAAAAGTTAAATTCTGTAAAAGCTTCAAAGAAATCAGCCAGTTTGATTACTTAATGCAAGTAAGTGAGGAGTCTTCAATCTATATGTAGAAAAGGCTCCTTTTTCTAAGGTTCATCGTCACCTCCAGAGCTGCGATCCAAACTGCTGGGTCAAGTACTACCAGAACAAGCGTGCACTTGCCATTCCATGTGTTCAGCTGAGTCTGGAGTTTGCAGTGGTAGTAGGTGAATAAATACAGGAAGAAATGCAGACGAGTTGATAAGTTCTTCTCTGGAGAGAAAGTAGAACCCAAGATTTCCAGTCTACCTCTTTATGTAAAACCAGATAGTTTTATTATTTGAAATATTTTGTGGGTGATTTAAAGTCACAGTGATACATAAAAAGGTGATGAAGCATAAGCTCAGTAGGGGTGATTTGCAGTGGCATATGTGGCTTAATTGTTTACTACTCGTGTGATTATATTTTGATTTTATTATTTGGAGGTGCTAACTTCCTGTACCAGTCTAGACACACACAGTTGTTCCTGTGCAGATTTTGCAGCGTCTCAGCACCATGTGAGGGCTTTCTCATGATTCATAGTTATTTAGTTGTAATTTTATTGAAAGGATTTATGGTATGGAACTTGGGTAGAACCTATTTCTCTTATACTCTACTTTCAGAAGCAATTATTAGAAAATATGATTATTCAGTAAAGGGTCAGAATTAGTGAAGGGCCTGTATCAGGCTACTTTAGACTTTTTTTTTTTTTTTGACAGGCAGAGTTAGAGAGACAGACAGAGAGCAAGTTCTTCCTTCCGTTGGTTCACCCCCCCAAATGGCCGCTAGAGCCAGGAGCCAGGAGCCAGGTGCTTCTCCTGGTCTCCCATGTGGGTGCAGGGCCCAAGCACTTGGGCCATCCTCCACTGCCCTCCTGGGCCACAGCAGAGAGCTGGACTGGAAGAGGGGCAACCGGGACAGAATCCGGAGCCCCTACTGGGACTAGAACCCGGGGTGCCAGCGGCGCAGGAGGATTAGCCTAGTGAGCCGTGGTGCCGGCCAAGACTTCTTTTAGGGACCCAAAAACTGTTGGGTTTCTGATTGCTAGTAATTAAGCATCTTTTTAATTAAAAGGTACTTTTTTTAATCAGCTAAATAACTTGTATAGTCTATCTTTTTAGCAGATTCTCTATTCCAAAAAGGTGTGATAGAATTATAGCACAGTTATATTTCAGATTTTGCAATTTTTTCCCATCATGCACTATACTTCTCTTACTGTGTTCATCACATCTAACGAGAGACTAAGTCCTTTAAGGAGAGCAGACATGAAGCGTAAATAATTAGTGCTTTGCACAGAGTAGACATCAGTGTCTGTTGAATGAATAAATTCATGAGTAAGTAGTAATGTCTTACCTATAACTTCCATACATCTCTTGAAATCTAAATGTTCATATGTTCCTGGGTAATAGATTAGTTAATAACCTAGCCGGTTTAGAATTAATCATTTTTACTACATTTTTCAGATTGCCAGTCACAGTGGCTATGTGCAGATTGATTGGAAGAGAGTTGAAAAAGATGTCAACAAAGCAAAAAGACAGATTAAGAAACGAGCAAATAAAGCAGCACCTGAAATCAACAATATAATCGAAGAAGTAAGATGATTCGTAATTTTGGCTGTTTGGTGGTGGTGGTGGTGGTGGTGGTGGTGATGTTGAATGGGTCTCACTTAGCAGAAAATGTGACGGGATTATCTTCTTTAAAAAAAAAAAATTGGTGTTTTTAGTCCTATATCTAGAGTGCTAGTAAAATGTGGGATCAAGCCACAGTTTAAATTGGTCATTAATTTTCTTGCAGTTAACATAGGTTCCTCTGCCCATCTCCTGCCTACTTTGATCTGCATATAAAAGCTGATACCTTTTGTTTCCACATTCTTTCCTCTGGGGACTGGGTTTGTGGTGCAGCAGATTAAACTGCCACTTCGGACACCTGCGTCCAATATTAGAGTGCTTCGGCTCTGCTCTGGGTTCCAGCTTCCTGCTGGTGCGAACCATGGGAAACGGCAGCTAATAAAGTACTTGCGTCCCTGCCACCCGTGTGGGAGACCAGATGTTCTGGGCCTTCAACTTTGGCCTGACCTAGCCTTGGCTATTGTGGGCATTTGGGGAGTGAACCAGCAGATGGAAGATGGATCTCTTTCTCTCCCTTTCTCCTTCCTTCCCCCTCTTCCTCTTGCTTTTCAAGTAAGTAAATAAATAAAACTTTAAAAGGGGGCTAGTATTGTGGTACACTAGGTTAAGCCACTGCTTGTAATGCCAGCATCCCGTAACGGATGGTTTGAGTCTTGGCTGTTCCACTTCCACTCCAGCTTCCTGCCACTCATGTGGGAGACCCAGATGAAGGTCCAGGCTCCTGGTTTCAGCCTGGCTAGCTCTGGCTGTTGTAGGCATCTAGGGAGTGAACCAGTGGATGGAAGCCCTCTCTTTCTCTCTCTTTCTCTGTTTCTCTCTCTCTCTTACTCTGCCTTTCAAGTAGAAGAAAAAAACATTAAAAAAACACAAATCTTTCCTGTTTTTGTAAATGTGTATGTGTATATACGAGGTATAGTAAAACTAAAACTCATTTCTCCTTTTTTAAAGATTTATTTATTTATTTGAAAGGCAGAGGTAGAGAGGCAGAGGCAGAGAGAGAGGTCTTCCATCTGCTGCTTCACTCCCCAGTTGGCTGCAACAGCCGGAGCTGTGTGATCCAAAACCAGAAGCCAGGAGCTTCTTCTGGGTCTCCCACGTGGGTGCAGGGGCCCAAGGACTTGGGCCATCTTCTTCTGCTTTCCCAGGCCATAGCAGAGAGCTGGATCAGAAGTGGAGCAGCCGGGACTCAAACTGGCGCCCAGATGGGATGCCGGTGCTGCAGGCGGAGGTTTCACCCGCTGTGCCACGGAGCTGGCCCCTCATTTTTCTCTAGAGGTAGAATAGTTTGAAAATGTATTCCTTCTGTTTATCAATATGATTAATATATCAGTTTTAACATTTTTGTGCATCTCGTATTCTGTTTGGAAGTGAATTTGATGTTCCCTAGCCTTTGTTTGTATTTCATCATTTGCTTTCCCCCAGCCTTTTAATATGAAAAATTGAAACCAATTGAGAAACTTAAAGATAAATGCACTGAATACCCAGATCACCAAATTCTTTGTTTTGCCACATGTGCTTTATCTGTATCTGGGTGAGATTTATGCTTTTTTTATTTTGACAAGCTATTTAAGACACCATGGTTCTTTATTCCTAAATAACTTTAGATGTTTCTCCTAGGAATACAGACATTCTTTTGCAAAACTCCAAATACCACTGTTATTAAAAAATTTAACATGATACCATAATACTTTGTAATGAACAGTCCATATTAAAATTTTTCTATAAAATAGTTTTAATGAATTTTTTCCTAGTGAAGAATTAATTTGTTGCTTTTGGTTGTCGTGTCTCTGAAGTCTCCTTTAGTCTTAGATTAAACCGTTCTCTCATCTTGTTGTTTTTTCCCCATCTTTCCTGGCACCGGCAGGCATCTAGGCAGACTTTCTCACACTCTGGCCCTGTCTGATGGCTTCCTCGTGATCTTAATTAGGTTAAACATTTTACCAAGGTGATGTTTCTTTTGATCCTGCACATTTTTTCTAACTGGCTAAATGAACTGTTAACAAATATCTTTGTGCCTGCTGTGGCAATGTATTAAATTATCTGTGTTAATAATTGGATGAATGGACCATTGACATCTGCCCTACAGGTGCCCATGAGCTTATAGCTGCCCATGTACTTACTATCTTGGCAGCCAGGGAACTTCCTGGGTCCAGCCATGAGTGCAATGGGCAGCTTCCTTCAGGTTGCAGTGGGCAGCTCTGGGATCTTATGTGGTGTTTGGCACCTGCTGAAGTAGGTGCATAGAATTTTTTGTTGAATATTGAATTAAGGAAAATAGTTGAGAATGTTACTTAGCTCCAGGTTCAATATATTTTTAAAATTTGCATTTTTATTGTGGTAAAATATATATAACAAAATTTGCTGTTTTAGCCATTTTTAAGTGTACAGGTCAGTGGCATTCAGTATATTTTCTGCAATCATGACCAATATCCATTTCCAGAACTTTATCACTCCTGTCATTCCTGTGCCCATTAAACACCAATTCCCACAATTTCTCCCTCTCTCCAGCCCTTGGTAATCTCTCTTTTTTAATTAAAATTTTTTAAAAATTTATTTATTTTCACTTATTTCAGAGACAGAGATTTTGCATCTACTGATTCTCTTCCCAAATGCCCACAACAGTCAGGGCTGGGCCAGGCTGAAGTCAGTAGCCAGGAATTCTATTTGGGTCTCCCATCTGGGTGGCAAGGACCCAAGTACTTGAACCGTCATCTCCTGCCTCCTAGGGTTTCCATTAACAGGAAACTGAATGGGAAAGTAGAGTAACCGTGATTTGAATCAGGCACTCTAATATGGGTTGCAGGCACCAAATGCTTGTCTTTTTTGAAATTCTTTTTACTGGGGTTGGTGCTGTGGCGTATCAGGATAAGCCACCATCTGTGACACCGGCATCCCATATGGGCACCGATTCAAGTCCTGGCTGCCCCACTTCCAGTCCAGCTCCCTGCTGATGCACCTGAGAGAATAGCAGAAGATGGCCCAAGTGCCTGGGCTCCTGTACCCACTTGGAAGATCCCGAAGAAGCTCCTGGCTTCAGTCTGACGCAGCCCTGGCTGTTGTGGCCATTTGGGGAATGAACCAGTGGATGGAGATCTCTGTCTGTCTCTCCCTCTCTCTGTAATTCTGACTTTCAAATAAATAAAATAAATCTTTTAAAAATTCTTTTTATTTATTTATTTGAAAGGCAGAGAGAGACAGGGTTTCCATCTGCTGGTTTATTCTCCAAATGCCTACAATGGCTGGAACTGGGCCAGGCTGAAGCTGAGAGCTGGGAACCCAATCCAGGTCTCATTCTTGGGTGGCAGGAACCCAGTCACTTGAGCCATCACCACTGCCTCCCAGGATCTGCATTAATAGAAAGCTGGAGTCAGAAGCAAAAGTGGAGATTCAAGCTCAGGTGCTCTGATGTGGGGTGCAGGCATCCTTTTTTTTTTTTTTAAGATTTATTCATTAATTTGAAAGCGGAGCTACAGAACAAGAAAAAGAGTGATCTTCCATCTGCTGGATTACTGTCCCAATTGGCCACAATGCCCAGGGCTAGGCCAGGCTGAAGCCAGGAGCCTGGAGCTTCCTCTTGGTCTTCCACATGGGTGCAGGGGCCCAAGGACTTGGGATATCTTCCAGTGGTTTCCCAGGCCACAGCAGAGAGTTGGATCGGAAGTAGAGCAGCCAGGACTCTAACTGGGGCCCATGAGGGGTGCCGGTGCTGCAGGCCATGGCTTAATCCACTGTGCCACATCGCCGGCCCTGGATGCAGGCAGTCTTAATTGCTAGGCCAGATCCTGTCTTATACTTCCTGACTCCATGAATTTGACTGTTCTTGTAAGTGGAATCATGCAATATTTGTCCTTTTTTGTTTGCCTTATTCCGTTTAACATGTTTTCAGATTTCATCCATAATTAAGAGTGTTTGTGTTTAAATGTACTTCATGTTTCAGGCAACCGAATTTATCAAACAGAACATTGTGATATCCAGTGGCTTTGTGGGAGGCTTTTTGCTAGGCCTTGCCTCTTAAGGACATGAAGGTTCTACCACAGTGGATTCAAATGTGAGAACAGGAGTGGAGGCGACGGGATGCTCTCTCAACAGTACGTGCTGCCAGAGTCTCCTGGGCAAGGAGAACCAACTAGCTGGACAAAACTGAACTCACAACTTAGCATCTTGCCATCTGAAGCTTGACAAACTAGTATCTGCTGTAAAACAACCTATGTGGTATGTGAACAATAGTATTCCTGAGCAAGACATGGCGGCTTTCATTATTTTTAAAAAATTTGTGTCTCTTTAGAAACTAGCCTATAAAATATCACCATTAGATGTAGATTTGAAGAGAAAAAAGAATCCGTTGGACTTGTTGCCCAGTGTTAGCCTCTGTTTAAATAAGGTGTTATTCATTGTGCTTTACAGTATAATACTGATAATTAAAATTGTATTATAGCTTCAATAGTAAGGCTTTTCGTTTTTAAAGATATCCTTGCAATAAACTGAAGAACCACAATGCCCTTGTGTGGAAGGCTTTAGAAATAATAGAATTATTAAAGATGTTAAATAGATTCTGCTGATGGAATCGAAAACCAATTTTTAGGTTTTTCTTGCAATTCTTTGCTTATTTAATAACTGTACATTTCAAAGAAGGCTCTTCTAAGGAAAGGTAAAACATGGTCTAAAGCTCTTTGTCCTTTTTTGATGTCTGTCATTTTTAAAATATCTTCTTGTGTGTCAGCTTCTAATTTGTTTATTTGTTTTATTTGTCTACAGCCTGAGTCAGACTCATTAGTTTGAGGGTACATATAGTTGGGGCATTGGTTTAGACTATTAACTTTGAAAACACCTCCATTTTCATTCTGAAAATCCTAATTAGTTTGGCCCCTTCACCAAGAGGTAAAAATCACTTTAAAAGATTTAGTAGTGTAGTATGAATTTACTTTCTCAAGAACATTAATTTTCTGCGTAACCATGGCATTGTAAGAGAATTGTCTCCTTGATCTAGTCTGAGATGTAACTACCAAGGCTTTCAGGCTTTTGGTAGCATTATGTTACTTGAACACTAGGCCAGTTTACTTGTTTCTCAGGGCCAATGTCACACTCTCTTAAAGGTTCCTTTGCCCAGAAAAAAGCTTTCTGGATTTTAGTTTTGTCCACACAGTTCCGGGTTGAAATTAGGGAAGAAGGTAGAGAGAAATGTAAATTGGAGTCTTTAGACTGAAAAGAGACTTGGCAGGTTTTCAGACCATGTACTTGTCATAGGCAATTCCCCCAGTCTCTTTTGTGTATTGTAAACATACAACATTTCATACTTTCAAGATTGGTTACAGACTATGTGTTTTCATTATCATGAGACTCCTTAAAATTAAATGTGAACTCAAATTTGTTTCTTTATTCTCATTAGTGCCTCAGATATAATGCTGAATAAATCTCAGACTTTCTTAATATGAAGTGCTTTTGCTTATAAATACTTGTTGGTTCTTCTTCAAGGCTATCTCTTTCTAGTTTGCTAAGCTTTTCTTGGCTGTGGATGAAAAGGGACAAATATTCACGAGTCTGGTCAAGTCGCTTTAGGTAGAACCTTTACCATGCTTCTGTGCACCACACCTGTCTGATGTGATACAGTGAAGCAGGCTACAATGGAAAGCTCTTACAGCTGGTTCAGTTTGTTCAGTTTGAAAATGCTCATGTGTGTTCTGTGCACGATTCACTCAGAAAGGGTGTGTGTGTGGGGGTACAACATGTCTGCCCTCAAGCTTTCAATTGAATAGATATCCAGATATTCTTATGAAGAATTTTGTAATAATACTAGAATATGAGGACCTGACAAATGAGGGGTACCTGGAAAGATAGGCACTTTGAGAGTCCTTATATAGAAATGAAAACTTTGAGAGAGAGCACTTTATTTATTTATTTTGCTATTGTAACTTCTTTTCACAATATTTACAAGAATAGTCACTCATTTGTTTTAGCCTTAAGTCAATAAAAAGTTTTATTTGAAAAACAGACTTGGCAGTGTGGCATAGTAGGCTAAGCCTCTGCCTGCAGTGCTGATTCATGTCTGAGCTGCTCCTCTTCCAATCCAGCTCTCCTTATGGCCTGGGAAGGCAGTAGAAGATGGCCCAAGTGCTTGGGCCCCTGCACCTGCATGGGAGACCCAGAAGAAGCTCCTGGCTCCTGGCTTTGGCCTGCCCTAGCCCTGGCCATTGCGGCCATTTGGGGAGTGAGCCAGCAGATGAAAGCCTTTTCACTTGCTTGCTCTCTCTCTCTCTCTCTCTCTTTGTAGCTCTACCTTTCAAATAAGTAAATAAATCTTAAAAAAAGACTGTTCTAGCTATTGCAAATGGAATCTACTCAAATTGGATTTTGACTGTTTTTTCCTTTTTACATTTTTCTCAAGCACTCAGTGAGTAATGTATCGTCAAACTTAAAGAGAGTGTCCAAACAGAATTTCTCTCTTGCCAAGGCAAATAATCAATCAGTTCTCTAGCCAGTGGGATTAGAGCACGACAGTGGGACCATAGCAAGAACCTTGGCTGCATTGTACATCTCACAAGAAATTAATTCATCTGCCGAATCATTTGATCCAGAACCTTCTTTAGTAGAACATGATCACAGCATCAGAATGTGTTAATTTGGCAAGAAAGAAATGAGCACACTATAGCTTTACTTTTTTTTTTTTTTTTTTAAGATTTATTTATTTGAAAGAGTTACACAGAGAGAGGAGGAGAGGCAGAGAGAGAGAGAGAGAGAGAGAGAGGTCTTCCATCTGCTGGTTCATTCCCCAATTGGCCGCAATGGCTGGAGCTGCGCTGATCCGAGTTAGGAGCCAGGAGCTTCTTCCAGGTCTCCCTCGTGGGTGCAAGGGCCCAAGGACTTGGGTCATCTTCTGCTGTTTTCCCAGGCCATAGCAGAGAGCTGGATTGGAAGAGGAACAGCCGGGACTCAAACTGGTGCCCATATGAGATGCTGGCACTGCAGGCGGCAGCTTTACCCGCTATGCCACAGCACCAGTCCCTGTTTGCTGTTAACAGCAGTAAACCATTTTCCTGTTAGTCACTATGGTATCTTTCAGGTGATATTTTCTCTTAGGGTTAAACATAGATCTAAAATATTATCAGAACTAACCACAAAAGGTATCAAATGAGCTCTCTGATCCGAGGAATTGATCAGTAAATAACTGGAAGCCCAAGAATTTGCTACTTTTCAACAAAGTCATATATTAGTCATGTGAATTATTTCATCTTATACCCTAATAAAAGGATTAACCAAGTAAGATCTGAAGAATGATGCCTTGGGCTGACACTGTTACTCAGCAGGTTTTAAAGTCCTGGTCTACAGTGCTAGCATCCCATATTGGTGCCAGTTTGAGTTCTGGCTACTCTACTTACAATCCTGCTCCCTGCTAATGTGCCTGGGAAAGCAGGGAAGGATGGCCTAAGTCCTTGGGTCCTTGCATCCACCTGGGAGACCTGGAAGAAGCTCCTGACTCCTGGCTTTGGCCTGACCTAGCCCTAGCTATTGCAGCATATTGGGAGTAACCAGAAGATTGAAGACCTCTCTTGCTCTCGTTCTTTCTCTTTCTCCCTCTCTCTGTAACTCTGTCCTTCAAATAAATAAAATAATTTTTCTTAATGATGCCTCGTGCCTCACATTCATTCAGGTTTTACTGTGAACTAGGCAGTGTACTAGGCATTTGTGCTTCATTTTTATGTATACATTTGTAAGTATCTGTTGCAGTGTTTGAAAATATTTGTGTGCAAATGTGAGATCTTACCAGTGCTCTCGCTAATTCTGCCATTCCTAGTAGTACTACTTGTTCTGCCTCCTGTTCTTGCAGTTTTCTCCCACTGCATTGGACATTACTTCAGGTAGTCTACATGTTAAGCAATCTTAAACACATAAAGCATGTAGTTTATGGCTTTGCCCACAGTAGATGTTCAGTTCATGTGAATGAGTACAGAAGCATGTGAAAAGCATATTATAGTGCTAAATTTAATGTCAACCTAGTAAACTGTGTTTCTTCTCTATATAGCAGCCCAATAAGTCAGAGACTCCATCAGAAATGAGTTGGTGAGACCTGGTTGCTGTGAAAAGCCTATATAGCTTACCTTTGTCTAAAATGAGGATTTTTATGTTTGCAGCCAGAAAGATTGTTCCCAAGATTTATTCATTATATGAACTATAGCTATCTTGTGGCTGGGTTTTGGAAGATATATAGGGACTTTTTGACATGTTATTTTTTTATTGCTACAGTCATCTCCACCCCTCTTCACATAAATGGATTATTTTTTATAGTGCTTTCTTATTTCAAATACAATACAAATGAAATATGTTAATTATAGAAAAAGAAATCACCATGAAGGTTGCCTTTATTACTTTAAATATTATACTTTAATTTTTCTGTCTTCATTTGCCAATGTTAGTTAATATCTTCTAATTCTATCCAATGAGTTAAAGGCAGTAGGGGCTGGTGCTGTGGTGTACTGGGTAAAGCCGCTGCCTGCTAGTACCAGCATCCCATATGTGCGCCATTTCATGTCTCGGCTGCTCCACTTCTGATCCAGCTCTCTGCTGTGGCCTGGGAAAGCAGTAGAAGATGGCCCAAGTGGTTGGGCCCCTGCATCTGCATGGGAGACCTGAAAGAAGCTCCGGGATCCTCGCTCCTGGCTTTTAATAGGCCCAGCTCCAGCTGTTGTGGCTGTTTGGGGAGTGAACCAGTGGATGGAAGACCTCTTCCTCTGCCTCTCTGTAACTACCTTCCAAATAAATAAATTTTTAAAAAAGATAAAGGCAATAAAGCATCTCTTCCCTCCTAATTTTTGTTAAATTATTATTTTAATGGTAAATTCAAATGATAGAATTCTATGCAATTATTTTTTCTGAAAAGAAACCTTTTATTTAATGAATACAAGTTTGATAAGTACAACTTTAGGAATAAAGTTATAC